CGCGGAATTTGGCGCAAAAGCACATGTATTGCGTACGATTCTTAATCTCATGTCCTGCCCATATAAGTCAGCCTTATCCCGTGGCAGAAAGTTTTGCAGCAATTTATCTGCCTTCACAGGTAATAGGACGAAACATGAAAATAGTAAAAACGGAATAGTAATATATGCGAAGACAGAAGGATGTGCTAAATGAGACATGACGCCCAGCTATTTCAACAAGCGCCGTCGTTTTCAAGGCCCCAAAAAGCAACATGGATATTTGTCATGTCACCTAACGTAAGGATTGACGAAGATAGTTACTAACTCGGCTTAGTTTAACCCACATTTCTTGAAGCAAATGTGTAGACATCTTCAGACTTTAAGCATTGCGCAATAATTTATCGCATAGCCGAGAATGCTAAGATGATGGCAATTCCCTAAGTAAAAATGCTTAAAAGATGCTTCTCAGCAGCATATATTGGTGCGAGATTCTGACATTTAATTGCTTGGTTCGACAAAATGTACTCGAAAAGTAGAAGAATTGTGGTATGTTGACCAATCAACAGGTACTACTGACAGAAATTAAATGAGCCTGGTCAACTTGAACTAGCCTATTGAAAGTTGCAAATGATATAGCCTCGAAGGGGGAAGGTTTCGGTTAACGTTTGAAATTGACTTGCACCTAGGAGAACAGGATATGCAACCGAACCCGGAATCTCTTATTTAAACTTCGATTTAGGGACTCTGTGGTTGTTTTAAAGGTAAATTCCTTGCATATGAGAGCTGTGTGTGGAGACAGGTATACCACTACTCTATTTTTTAACAGAGAACAACATGATTAAAAACATCGCTCATGGTGGCCAGTAGATTCTGGATGAAGTGCTCAGAGGCATCATTTTAAAATAAGTTTATTTGACTCCGGCGTACACAGAAATGGGCTTTTTTGCTAAGTAGAATGACGAATCTGGAGGAAAACCAACAGTTGCGACAAGACTGACTGGGGCATCTAATTTGGACGCCCCACCGCTATAGCCCCATCGACAGTGTCTGCAATAGTGATCGCAGCCAGTCAAGACTGTGTGTGTTTACTGACCAGCGGCCTGTTCGGAGGTAAGAAAAAGAAATGCA